TCTGTGTCTGTACTCACAGAGCTTTCTTTGAGGCTTTGACCACTGGCAGCAGCCTCAGAAGAGCCTCCTCTGAAGCAGAATATTTCTTCAGATCAAACTCATCCAGATCTTCCTCTGATGACAGTAAGACGAAGACCAGAGCTGACCACTGAGCAGGAGACAGGGTATGTGTGGAGAGACCTCCTGAACTCAGGGCCTGTTGGACCTGCTCCACCAGAGAACCATCATTCAGTTCATTCAGACAGTGGATCAGGTTGATGCTTCTCTCTGCAGATATCTTTTTACTGAGCTTCTTCTTGATGTATTGAGCTGTTTCCTGATTGGTCTGTGAGCTACTTTCTGTCTCTGTCAGCAGACCGCGTAGGAGCCTCTGATTGGTCTGCAGAGACAGACCCAGGAGGAAGCGGAGGAACAGGTCCAGGTGTCCATTTGGACTCTGTAAGGCCACCTTCACAGCACTCTGATGGAGATGTTTTAACTTTGGTTTCTGAACAAGTCTCTTAAAGGTTATTTTTTGTTCTTCCATCAGGTTCTTTCCAGAGTTGATGAAGGTCAGATGGACGTGCAGAGCAGCCAGAAACTCCTGAACACTCAGATGGATGAAGCAGAACACCCGGTCCTGGTACAGCCCGCTCTCCTCTTTAAAGACCTGTGTGAACACTCCTGAGTACTTTGAGGCTGCTGATAGATCGATGCCACACTCTGTCAGGTCTGATTCATAGAAGATCAGGTTTCCTTTCTGCAGCTGATCAAAAGCCAGTTTTCCCAGAGACTCCACCATCTTCCTGCTCTTTGGACTCCAGTGTGCATCTGTCTCAGATCCTCCGTCGTACTTGGCCCTCTTCACTTTGGCCTGAACCACCAGGAAGCGGATGTACATCTCAGTCAGGCTCCTGGGCAGCTGCCCCCCCTCTCTGGTCCTCAGCACGTCCTCCAGAACTGTAGCAGAGATCCAGCAGAAGACCGGGATGTGGCACATGATGTGGAGGCTCCGGCAGCTCCTGATGTGGGAGATGATGCTGCTGGCCTGCTCCTCATCTCTGAACCTCTTCCTGAAGTATTGCTCTTTCTGCTCGTCTGTGAAGCCTCTGACCTCTGTCACCATGTCGACGCAGTCAGCAGGGATCTGATTGGCCGCTGCGGGCCGTGTGGTGATCCAGAGGCGAGCAGAGGGAAGCAGCTTCCCCCTGATGAGGCTGGTCAGCAGCACGTCCACTGAGCTGGACTCTGTGACTTCAGTCAGGGGCTCCTGGTTGTGGAAGTCCAGAGGAAGTCGACTCTCATCCAGACCATCAAAGATGAACACAACCTGGAACTCTGCAGAGCTGCAGATTGCTGCTGCTTTGCTTTCAGAAAAGAAGTGGTGGAGGAGTCCCTGCAGGCTGAACTGTTTCCTCCTCAGCACGTTCAGCTCCTTGAAGGTGAAGGGAAACAGGAAGTGGATGTCCTGGTTGGCTTTGCCTTCAGCCCAGTCCAGAGTGAACTTCTGTGTTAGGACTGTTTTCCCAATGCCAGCCACCCCCTTTGTCAGCACTACTCTGATTGGTTGTTCTCTTCCAGATGGGCCTTTAAAGACGTCTTCTTGTCTGATGGTTATTTCTGGTCTGTCTCCTTTCCTGGATGCAGCTTCAATCTGTCTGACCTCGTGTTCCTCATTGACCTCTGTTGCCCCCCCCTCTGTGATGTAGAGCTCTGTGTAGATCTGATTCAGATGGGTTTGCTTTCCTGCTTTAGCAATGCCCTCAAACACACGCTTGAACTTCTTCTTCATTGCAGACTTATGTTTGAACTGACAGTCCAAATAAAACTCTGAATGAAAGGAAACACATGGAAGATTAAATTTATTTACCTAAACAGCTTAAAATGTCTCACAGAGAAATCATTCCAGAAATCAGCACAATTTCTAAACAATAGCAAGACATGAGTTTTTATTCATTCTGCGATTACTCTGCAGGTCGGTTGCTAAAGAAAGAAGCAACAGATCTAAAACAAGAGCAAAGCTGAGTATCACTGAAAAGTTTTTAAAAGGCTTTGACCAACTAAGGACTAACAGCAGTGCCACTGCGTCCGTACTCAGATTTGGGTCTGCTCTTTATTCCTGAGGTGCTTACAGGTTCTAGTAGTTTAACCACTCTGGTCAAAGGAGGTGAGGGTAGGCTCATAGCCTATGCTAGCTGAGCTTTGGGGCTCCTTGTCTGCAGGAAAATGACCAGGTGGGTATTTTTTGGGACACCAAAGAAATATTTGTGGCTCTCGTGGAGTGGTTAGAAGGAAGGTTAAAGGTCAAACCACTGAGATTGCAGCTGCATTAATTGGAATCCAGTGACTGTTCAGAGAAACTGCTGTTGAAGGATGTGAGGCCTCACCTTTCAGAGCAGGATGATCAGAGGAAACGTCCAACTCAGAGGAAAGGACTGGCTCTATGGCTTTAAAATGTTCTATCATCTTCTTACAGGCCTTTTCTCCTTGATTCTTCACATAGTCCAGGAGATCACGTGCTTTGTCGGCTCTGACTGGGTTCTTCTGCAGTATCTCCTCTTCTTGCAAATTATTGAGCACACCATCTTTTCTGAAGGCATCGATGAGCTGTTTGAGGCTTGCTTCTGACACCTTGGCCACAAAGTCCCGCCTGATCTTTTCAACCTCGCTCACTGCAGGAAGAATCAAACACACTCTTAAAGTTTTCAGTGCATGCTCTTGAGGCATTAAGTAAAGACAGGCCTCCATTTGAAGATGTACTTCACCAGAACTGAGTATTACTCATGAAAACACTTCTTTAAGGAAGCTGTGGGCCCAGAGAGTACAAAAGAACCAAACCATTTCAGGGTCAATAACCAGATCTGTGAGACCAGGTGAGGACTGCAGATGGAGCAGTGAGCTGAAACTTCTATTCCCAGCTCCACTGCTTCATAACCAGAAACCTTCTCACTAACTGGTGGTTTCCTGTCCAGATTTGTTCTGTTTTGATTCATTTTCTTCTGTCTTTGATGTAGCTATCCTGTGGGTTTTAAGACTTTCTACAGTTCATTGTTTTGTTATTTGGTTACCGTGTGCTTGCCTTTGTTTAAATTGACTGTCCAAAGGTGGCAGAAGATAAAACTTCCATGTGCTTTTTAGTTAAAACATGTTTATTCCTCTTTCTGACCTGTTTGGGCTTTTTTCACTCTTTATTCAAATTGAGGGTCACAGATATGCCCTCACTCTAGTTTTAATGAATGCAAATACGTATTTTTTTAAGTTGTTATTGAATGGATGACCCATGTGTATGTCTTTAACTCAATAGGACATCTTTACACGCAGTGATGCTAAAACCAGAAACAATCTTCTGTGATTGGTCAGCAGCGCTTCACGACTCCTGCTACAGATCCTGTATCAGAACATATCTGGTAAACAGTCTTCATTCATCGTGTTGAATGGTTAACCTGTTGTGCTGGCCACTGAAGCTTTACCTGCTGAAGGGGGTGGATGTCCTGAAGTTGCTGAATGGGTTGGGGGGCCTTCTGTTGGAGCTTCTGAAGGGTGTCCCTCTGTTTCCTTGTCATCATCTTTGCTCTAAAAACATTGAGAATCCGGTTCATGCAGGACTCATATTGTATCACTTACCACTCATCATATGTTTCCTGCATGAGTGGAAGTGGAAGTGTTCACGGGACTGGAGTATTTGTGCCCACTGAACAACGAACACACTCTCAGTTTTGCTACAGTTGTATCAGAGCACATTAAAGTAACAAATTCTAAGAAATATCTTGTTTTATTCTGTTCCACAACTCAAATAAGAATGAGATAAACAGTGGCTTTGACACCACAAAATATAAACTATTCCTTTTTTTTACATTATCATGATGTGGTAGGCTTCTCTTTTTATACTAGAGAGGCCAAATTGTTCAGTTTCTGGCTCTAATTATTAAAAGGTCCAACCAGACCAAAGCAACGCAGCTCTGAGTTGAGCTGAGTAGATATTCAGGCAAACCCAGCAAATTCTTGAGGCATTACACATCGTTTATGGCCTGAGAACCTCTTGGAATCCTTCAGTAGAAACTGGAGTGTGTTGCTGGGAGGTTTTCAGTTCCCTCCCTCCTGTTTTACAGCAGGAGACTCATATACCAAAGACAGCAGCAGATGTTCTGTCCACGGCCCAATTCCCCCATGTGCTTCCAGCTGGTTCCAGCTTCAGACAGAAGGTTGTTAGGGAAATCAATATATGTATAATCCCTTTCTTAATTTCTCTCTGGTAACTTTCCACAAGTGAATATTTTAAAGGTTCTTTTTCTTTCTCATGGGACTCATTCCTCCTTCTAGGTCCCAGAGAGGGTCTCCTTATACTTTATCTCTGAATGTTTTGTCTGGAGGATTGTTTAATACAGGTGCAGAATGAAGGACAGACTTTAC